GGGAGAGGGAGAAGCAGGCTTCCCGCCAAGCAGGGAGCCCGATGTGGGGCTCCATCCCAGGACCCTGGGATCATGACCTGAGCCGAAGGCAGACGCTTAACGACTGAGCCACCCAGGCGCCCCAATGTAATATATTTTTAGACATTAACTCAGTTTGCTCTCAGTATTTCTACTGTACTCTTACTAGCTATTTTCAGTTTTATCTGCTGTTACAGGCTGAATTATATCCCTAGGAATTCATATGTTGAAGCGCAAACCCCCCAGCAGCTCAGAATGTGACTGTGTTTGGAGATAGGGCCTTTCAAGGGGTGATCAAGTAAAAATGAGGCTGAGGCCTTTAGGGTAGGCCCTAATCCATTCTGACTGATGTCTTTATAAGAAGAGGAAATATGGGTACATCAGACCCCTGGCCTCCAAGATCAGCCCCCCTGGGTCTTTCTTCAAAAAACGTTGGTGATGACATCACCAAGGCAACTGGTGATTGGAAGGGTCTGAGGATTATGGTGAAACTGACCATCCAGGACAGATAAGCCCAGATTTAGATAGTTCCTTCTGCCTCTGCCCTGATCCGTGGGCTGCAGTGTGGATGGCTGCTACCTTCATGACATCAACAGTGGTGTGGTGAAATGTCCAGTTGAGGACTAGAAAGGAACATACTTCAATAAAGGGTTGTTTGATAAACAAAGGAAATAAGCTGTCAGACAGGGGCACCTGGGTGGCTCAGTCGTTAAGCGTCTGCCTTCGGCTCAGGTCATGATCCCGGGGTCCTGGAATCGAGCCCCACATCGGGCTCCCTGCTCTGCGGGGAAGCCTGCTTCTCCCTCTCCCACTCCCCCTGCTTGTGTTCCCTCTCTCGCTGTGTCTCTCTCTGTCAAATAAATAAAATCTTAAAACAAAAACAAAAAAACTCAGACATGTGCGTGCATAGAGGAATGACCATGTATGACCCAACAAGAAAGCAGCCATCTGCAAGCCAGGGAGAAAGGCCTCAGGAGAAACCAATCCTAGCAACACCCTAATCTTGGACTTCTAGTCTCCAGGACTTGGAGAAAATAAATTTCTGTTGTTGAAGCCACCCCCAGTTTGTGGTATTTTGTTATGACAGTCCTAACAAACTAATATACTTGCTATAATGCAGAAGCTAATCTACCAGTCTTCTTTTGAACCAGACATTAAATGTAGATCAATGCCCCTCTTCTTGTTAATTTTTTTTTTTTGGTGGGGGGGAATATAGTTGTGTTTCATAAAATACATGATTTTGTTAATATGTAATGGGTTCCTTATTGTTATTTTTAAATAAACATTTTTTCACTTCTTAGGAGTTTTTTTTTT